TATTTTGGCATACCTTAGAAAAAATGAATGTATGTGTGTATGTGTGTGTGTGCGGATACAAATTTTCGTCGACAATTTCGGAAACACCGATCAACCGATTTGAATAATTCAAAAAAACATTCGATTCCTATTGATAAGGAGACGTGCTGATTTTGGCAAAGGTAGGGCTATCCGTTCCAAAGATACGGGTCAAAAAGTGCCAAAAACGGTAACTCAGTTTTTAAGAGAACGGGGCGTCCGATTTGAATAATTCAAAAATCATTTTACTTGTATTGACAAGCTAAAAAACTGATTTAATTTTTGGGAAGGTAGGCCCAGCGGTTATAGACTCTCAATAAAAATAAGTTTAAAAAATGTCATTTGGCGGTCAAAAATGTTTATTGGACTTAAACACATCAAATTATCAGATATTTTATAGAGATTTTAATAATGTGTACACATTTTGTGTAAATTTTTTGGGGTTCCGTACCAAGATTTTTATTTACGGTACGGGAAGTTCCAGCAATTTGCCTTAAACCACGATGCCATAGACCACTAATTTATTATTCATATTAATTCAGAGCCTCGTTTCCATGTCTAATTCTACTTACTATGTAAGACGGTCGGCTGTCATTAACTGATATTTGATAGAGATTTGAATAATGTGTACACATTTTGTGTAAATTTTTTTGGGTTCCGTACCAAGATTTTTATTTACGGTACGGGAAGTTCCAGCAATTTGCCTTAAACCACGATGCCATAGACCACTAGTTTATTATTCATATTAATTCAGAGCCTCGTTTCCATGTCTAATTCTACTTACTATGTAAGACGATCGGCTGTCATTAACTGATATTTGATAGAGATTTGAATAATGTGTACACATTTTATGTAATTTTTTTTGGGTTCCGTACCAAAGTTTTCACTTACGGTACGGGAAGTTCCAGCAATTTGCCTTAAACCACGATGCCATACACCACTAGTTTATTATTCATATTAATTCAGGGTCTCGTTTCCATGTCTAATTCTACTTACTATGTAAGACGGTCGGCTGTCATTAACTGATATTTGATAGAGATTTGAATAATGTGTACACATTTTGTGTAAATTTTTTTGGGTTCCGTACCAAGATTTTTGTTTACGGTACGGGAAGTTCCAGCAATTTGCCACTAGTTCATCATTTATATTAATTCAGAGTCCCGTTTCCATGTCTAATTCTACTTACTATGTAAGAGGGTCCGCTGTCCGTGCCCGCGTCCCACGGGTAGAGGTTCAGCACGCGCGACTCTATCCAGGAGCCGTTGCGGGCGCACAGCTCAAGCCCGGAGACGCCGACGATCCAGTCGGGAGACGGGAAAATCATAGAGACCAGCGACACCAGGTGATGCCGCTTGTCGACGCGGAACACGGCGAAGGTCTTGCCGGTTACGTTGGGGTAACTGATGCCTCGGGCTTTGATGATTGTACGGATGTGTTCGCTCTGAAAATAATAATAAAATAATGGTAATAGAGATTTGTTTGGGGGATGCAAAATACGGTATGCTGAGTAAAATTGATGAGTAAAATATTAGGTATACATTGTAAAAAATTCTGTTAAATGTTCCGATGATTGTATAAAAATTGAATTGAAAATAATATTATATTTGAAATTACTATAACTTACCCTACGGAAAGTTAAAAATTACATTAAATTAAATTAAATTAAAAATTGTATAAAATTATTTATTAGGAGGACATACATTAATCAAGCGAGGCTTAAAAAGGGGGAGGAGTTTCACAAAAAATACCAGAGAGTCTAGTAAATTATCACGTTTATTTATCTTTTACCTTAATCAGAAAAAATCGTAATTTTTTTAAATTTTCCAAAAATTTAACATTTTTCATAGAGTCTAAAAATACATGTGAAGTTGAGAGGAAAAGAATATTAATTTTAAAAATCACAACTTATCACATGGAGAACATGGTGATAAAAATGGGTACAAAAATCCTTAAAAATCGATCTTCTTAACGATCATAATATTAATGATTTGCAAGTTGTTTGTAATTTTATTATCTCTGCAAAATGGTGATAGAAAAAAATCGTATTTTGTATAAGATATTCCAAAAATTTAAAATACACGTCAAGTTCAGGGTAAAAGGGTATTAATTTTATAAATCACAATTTATCACCATGGGGAAAATGGGGTACAAAAATTCTTAAAAATAGATCCCCTTAACGATCATAATATTAATGATTTGCAAGTTGTTCAAAATTTTATCATATATAAATATAAAGAGCTTTAATAATAGTATATAAGAAGCTCATAAAAAATAAATGCATTCTGCGATTCATTGAAGTTTTAAAACTGGATTCAGGATATAAAACATAGATTTACTTAGAAAGGGAGCAAAAAATAAATCTGCCTGATATATTTTTGGCATACGCAGTCCAGAAAATATTACTATATATATATCAAATCGATTCTATTTTTTTTAAATATTATTCAAAATCAAGTAATATAGATATATAAAAGTAAATAAGTTACTTTATCCCTTTATCGTACGATGCCATTTTGTTGTACGATGCTTTTATTTATAGTTAGTCAGTCATTGGTGTAATTAATAATCAAATAATTGAATTAAAAAAAAAAACTTAAATATATTCATTATAATCATGTCAAAGTTTTCTCTTAAAATTTTAATTTATTTGCAAATGATCTTCAAATAAATAGATGTTTGCTGACGAATCTCTAATATGTAAAAATAAACAGTTAAGATTTTTAGATTTCAATTTAAATGATGAATCAAAGTATTTTGTGTTAAAATTTGGTCTATACTAGTTCAATAACTATTTAATTAATAAATTTTATTTTAATCGACTTTTGCTTATATAGGTAAAAAAATATATATTTTTCAAGAACTCATGTAACTAAAATAGATGTATTATTTGAAACTAATAATCAAACATTTAATTAGAATATTGATAATTCTTTAACTCTGAATTCTATTTAAAATCAAATGATCCAAATATAAAATGTAAGTAAGTTAATTTATCCCTATTTGATAAAAATAAGTATTCATTATTTCACATTTTTGCTTATATGATGTAAAACAATATTTTTATCGTCGATATAAAACCAATATTTATGTAATTAAAGCTGATATAATATTTGAAACATTTAATTTGATTATTAATCACATTAAACAATTTGATTGCAATTTACGCAATAATGGTTAGGAAATGCAAATAAATTTTAAAATGAATTTTATAAATTCGTTTTACAAATAATCGCTTTTGTATATAAAATTAACATTTTTGTCTAAATAATTTAATTTGTAATATCCTGTTTGCAAACCAACGAGTCGTATTTATAGAGCAAGTAAATTAGTCGATACTTTAATCTGAAATGGCAATTGTAAAACAAAATGCAAATATACTGACGCCCAGAAATCAATAATGGTAGTATGCATTAATTTATTATTTACAAACGAATGGAATTTAATGAATAAATAATAAATCGGATATGGGTTCAAACGAAATTTATGTGTCGCATAGGGTAAATAGTCAGAGGAGGTAAAATAGTCAGAGGTAAATAAAAGGAGTGATGATAATGAAATTGCATGTTAATAATTTATATTGATCATATACATTTGAAATTCCATCCTTTAAAAATATGTTGACTCGACAAAAATAGTAGCTAAAATACAATAATGAAAAGATATGGGTCACCAATTTTGTACATGCAAAGACCCTTATAGTTAGATAAGAAAATTCGTGGCACTCTTTGAAACCTTGTAGGATTATTTTAAACTATCGCAAAAGGTTATTTACTCTTCTATATTATTAGATGTTTATTGAAAGGTTTTGGAAATGTTTACGGTATTGAAAATTATAAACGGTTTGAGAAAGATATGGGTTAGATGGATCTAATCCATCAGAATTCACCCTTAGACAGTCAGAATGTATATAAAAATATATATTTGTATTTGTACGCTTGTGAATTTATTATTAGCTCCTTCGCTTAAAGTTATGTTTCGAATTTCATTTCCTGCTAAAAGCGAAAGATTTACTCTTTTCTCGGAGCAAGTTGTTACAGATGTTATCTCGTTCGCAGCATCCATCCTTACTTTAGGGGATTGACATGCAAATGTAATAATGGCAACAGACAATGCATTTCGTCTTACATTATTTATTCATGCAATAAGAAATGGATTTGCATTTTATTAAAAACTACTTCCATTTTAAATGAATCCTTTTTGCTACCAGAGAACTCATCTAGTCGACCCATAATATAAATATTATAGGGTGGTGGTATTCTGTGTGTATATACAACTATTTTTGTCACTTATTGAATAGATTTTTAAAGTCAAAATCTTTTTTTGAGAGGCACACCTAGTGTGAAGTTTTCAAAAAATTGAATTTTGAATTTTTCCATATTTTGATAGGCTATATCTTCAAAAATAACATACTAAAATTTTAAAGAAATATCTTAAATAGTTTTGGAGTTTTAGCCATTTAAAAAATTACATATAGTATATAATATAACGATCATTTTATTTTTAAACGCGTTTTTCTCAAAACAGTATTTTGCGAATTTGCTGGAGTGATTACTCAGAGACAAATAATTCGATTGCTATCAATTTTTTTGGCTTCTCCTCTATATAGTTCTCCATACGATGACCCTCCAGTTTTTTGATCTGATCAAAAATCGAATTTTGGCAGGCCAAAAACGACCAAAATTTTGGGAAAAATTTAACTTTTTTTTTCAACATGCCGCCATTTTGTCAATTTTTGATTTTTTTGTTCGTCCGAGGGTCATCGTACAGACAAATATGTTCTAGTTTAGCGAGAATTTTTTTGTTTTTATATTTTATGAACGGAAAAGACTGCAATCACTCCAGCAGTGGAGGATTTTTTTTTTGACGCCGCCGGAGATTTCGTGTCATTTCAAAAGTATTTAATATTTTATTTCAAAAATTTTACTATGTATTCTCAAAACATGTATAAATATACCGTCAAAATTTAGAACAAATGGATTCACTAGTTTTTGTTATTTTTTAAAAACATACAATAAACCGGTGCAAACGTCGATCAAATTTTTGGAACAGGTTGCATATCTCTTGTTAGATAATGGTTCAGCATTTTCATCACGAATATTGAATTTTTATTCAGCAAGCCATAGATTTTATACGTCATTTATAAAATTACTAATTCTTAATATTATATTGTGTCTTCTAAAATTGACTGCACAAATAATATTCTAGTACATAGTTCAATACCTACAAAATTTATTCATTTCATAGACGGTTCAATTCGCAAAGCATAAATAAATATAAATGCATTTACGGGCTATTGAATCTGTCACGTTTGGAAGTGTAACCTACTTTCCTGACACGATGCTATGAATGTCTGTATAAATATTTTCTGTCAAATCGTATCCATATGAAATATCGATTTGTTGTCAAACCCAATACTAAAAATTTGTCAAAGTAATGTAGTTATTCCGTAAACAAATAACAGAATGTGTAAAACATACCAAATAAATTGGATTATTGAGCTACAAACTCGATAATTTAATTTCATGGTGATATATTACAATTTCCATACCTCGGCCTTAAGCTCGCTCTCCAACATCCTGGTTGCACCATGTTCTGCAACCTGGCGTAATCCCTCGCTGGCCGGTTGGCCATATTCCCAGAACCTGCACAGAATATATGCACATGTTTGATATTATTTATGAGCTCTACAAAGGAGATGTGCATGCACAGTATTTGAATTTGAATATTGCAAAGGTATTTTTGTCAAAGCAACAAACATATCACAGACTAGTTGCAGTATGGATGAGTTTCACTGAGAAAATGTTAATTTTATTTATCTCTTTTTTATTTACGCCTGTTCAGTTACGGACATAAATAAATTAATAAATTTAAACAGGCAAATTTGTACTAAAAAGTTTTATGATAAATGACAATCTCAATTACTAATTGCATTATATATTTTATCAGAATAACTATTCTTTTGAATATAAATATCAAATAAAAAATTCAAAATTAGTTATTGAAATTATTTTCATGAGGGTAAAAAAATACACATTTTTATTTTAATGTGAAAATTGATTTAATAAGCTCTTTTTCTATATTTTATAAGGCGATACGTTAAAGAATTAATTTTATTTAAAAAATATAATAATTTTTGAATGACTGAGAATTTTTGGTCAATTCTGTACATTTATGAATCATCAACAATTTTTTTTTCAATAAATAAGCAGAAAATTTGTATATATGATATTAGTTTGTTGTTAAACTATAATGACAAAATTTCGTCAAATGAGATATTCCCAATTTAAACACATTAGAAAAAAACCGTTTTTAAAAAATGTATAAGGCAAACCATTAACAGTGGACATTTTTATCTCGGAAAAAAAATATATATATTATAATTTAAATATTTAAAATAGGTGCACGTATCTTCTTGAACCAAAATATATATAATGTTTATTCAAAATGTTTTTTTTCAGAAAAAAATGCTTCCTATTTAAATGGCCTACCCTGTTACTTTAAACAAACGCATGATAAGACTGTATTGTGAATTTCAAGATTTTTATTTAATAATTTACAATTTACTTTTAAAATTATATTTTATAAATTCAAATGATGTAATATTTACAGAAACAAAAAAACAATGTTTTATTCTAGTCTCTTGAATGTGGCAGAAAAACAAATCACCTGTATTTGCAAGAATAAAGTAAATTTGTATAAAAAAATTCTTTGTCTCAGTTAATTAGAAGCGCTAGTTAAACTTTCAGGTTGTTTGATATAACTTTTAATTAAGCATTATAATATAACAGTGTACGAAAACTTGGGGAAATTAGTTTGTATCTTTTATAATAGTTTGAGAATGAAGAATGCAATTTTTATTATCTAGTGTAATAATATTTAGACCTATGAATTTCGAACTGTGGTGTCCAGGTTCAATACTTGCTTCGGACAGCCTGATATCAAGCAAAAATGACATCTGTTTTAATCTGTAAATATCGATAGCTATGAACCAAAAAACCCCTTAGCCGATATAGATTTAAAACCTTTCATTAATAAAAAATCAGCATTATCAAAATTTTAATAATCTCATTACATAGAAAGTGTATAGGATGGGATTGAGGCTCGATACCCACTTCGGACAACCTGGTATCAAGCAGTAGTGATATTGGCTATATAAAAGATTATCCTAGGTATTCCTACCTTCATAAAAAAGATAAGTATATATTAAGGGGGTATTCTGGTGTAGAGCGATGAATTTTGATCATTTTAAATGTCGTAAAAGAAAGCAATGAAAGATTATTAATCTACAATGATGTCACAATCGCCCAAACTAGCGATGAGTAAAAAAATGTTTTTTTTACAAATCTGTTTGAAAAAAAAGTGTTTTTTACTGTTTTTTTGAGTTTCTCGAATTTTTTAAAAATAGTAAAAATTAAAATTTGGGAATGATGCTAGTTCAGGCTAAAAATAGGTCTATAAACTAGACTCTCTGAACATTTCAAATCGGTTGATCAAAACTCGAGAAATCGTGTCAACAGTACTGAAAAGTCTGTTCTGAGAAAAACGCATTTAAAGTTTTGCGTGAAGCCAAACCAGTATGGAGACCGAGTCAGTAAAATGCCTATATCTCCGAAAATAATTCAAATTTTCAAAACCTTCTCGTACCCATATTCTTAATTAGTTAAACTTTTAAAATGTGAAATAAAAAAAACGATTTTTTTGAATTTCTACACTAGAATACCCCCTTAATCACATAGAGACAGGACAACCCTTCATGAAAAAACACGTTAAGTAGTCAGCATAACAGATGAAAGAATTAATTAAGAACCTATTTCAGTTGAATAAATATAAAAAAAATATTTCAATCAGAACCTGTATTTCCCTCAATACAATTATAATGCTATTAAATATGAAATAAATTGCAGTTGCAAATTCTTTGCTATGCGAATCCATAACTAAACAGGGAAACAAAGCACTCTTATGATGTATGTGCCCAGAATTTCCGCATATATCTCATTCCATTCATTGATTCTGGCAGGGATATGCATTCGAATTTGAAATTTGAATATCGAATCGACCAGGTACACAACAACGGAATGAAAACCGACGGTCCGAATCAAGTGATGCCTATAACGCGGTCTGCGGCAGCTTTGTCGATGATTAGAACGCGTTTGATTAAATTGCTAATTCAATGTACTATCGAATAGTTAATTTTGATGAAGGACAGAAGGAATTTAGTTGGTCGATGTATTTAATGCGGAGTAGAGTGGTCACAACATTGATTAGGATTTAGGCACTCGCAATTATTTTGTAATTGATTGTAAATATACGCTAAATAGGTTTACTGGGTATATAACGCCTTTGATACGTAAGTGTTCATTGTAAATGCAGAGTGAAGAGTGGAGTGTATATATATATATATATATATATATATATATATATACATACGCATACACACACACATATATATATATATATATATATATATACATATATACACACAATTAAATTTCTTTGTTCAACGTTGAGACATATGTTGAATATTAATTTTCGAAATAAAAGAAAATAAATAAATACAATATACGTTTCGACACGGATTGTGTGACATCATTCAGCAATGTTTTGTTAACAGTATCACACCAGAAAAAACCATCTTTTTTGATAATTACATGTAGAAAATAAACCATACATACATTACATATAAACTAAATATAAAAAATAACCATATAAGTGAACATGTTTTGTTTTTAATTTTAAACCCCGTTTCAAGTGTTTTAAAATCAATATTAAGGTATATATATACACAAAGAATATTCACTTTTTCAAGAATTTTGAAAAATCTAAATTAAAAAAAAATCAAAAGAAAACGATTATATAATATATAATATGTTTAGTAGTTTAAGTGTTTCATTAATTATTTAAATTTTATTCTCTCAAATGATTTAACAAAGTACATGCTATACCAGTTCTAAGGAACGTCGAAAAATTATAAATAAATTTATTTTTTTCTAAAAAAAGACGTGTCATATAAGATCAGATATTAATAATTTTATAAATAATGATTATCTATCTATATTGCATTTATAAAATATTATGAATGAGGTACATTTATTGTTCCTATCAGTGAACAGAAAAAATAAATTACACAAATTATGTAAAAAATAAATTTGAAATATACATTTAGATATAATCATACTTTTTGCTGCAACCTCAAACAATCGTCTGTTAAAGGATTCAATTATTTTAATTTAATGCATACCCAATTAAAAAATTTATTGTTTGATTTTAATATTTAATGTAGTAGGTAAATGCAAATTTATCAACAAATCTATATAAATTTTAAAACATTTTTTTTTAAATATTGACTATATTTTCTATAAATATCTCACTAGGCTCTCAATATTTGTTAAAACACGATAGTGTTAAAAAAAATTATAAATAATGATAGTACGTGAGTAAATGATATTTTTGATAAATATAACATAATATCACAAAATTATAAAACAAATATACTTATAAATTATTATAAGTATTATTATTACTTATAAATTATTCAATGAAACATAAATTATCATTTTTTTCATAGTTATTATATATAGCTTGGCGTAATCTGTAACGTCTAATGAATTAGAGAGTAAAAAAATGAAATGAATTTTAATTGATTTAAAAAAATGTTGTCAAAAAACTATCTGTATTTTTTTACAAATATATCCATATCAGAATTTTATTTTCAAAAGAAAACTCAAAAGTAAAAGTAAAATTTTGAAAAAGTAAAGTCAAGTAAGTGAATCACCATCTAAAAAGTGACAAGGTTTTTTCCTAAGACTGACATCAACCAGAAAGAATGAAAACTAATTAGAGACCCTTCTAAAAAGAACAGAAAATAGGAACACGACTTCCCTTTTATCTTAAAAGATTTATCTCACATATTCAAGAGACTTGACAAAATAAAACTATAGGGAAATGTAGGTGAAATTTCTTGTTTTGTAAACATAGCGTCGATATAGTACAAAAACAAATAAATGATTTTTAAATAACTTGCATAGAGAATATGCAGAAATTATAAAATTGACTTGAATAAACTGTAATTATTAATAAATCTAATTTTTATTAATATCATAAAGATAAATGAATCTTGCTAATTTTCAATACCATCATTAGATATACTGGGCATGAGATTAATTAATAAACTTCAGTTAATTTAATAAAATCACTTTTATAAATTCACTCCAAACCAACTTATATCCACTATCCCCAAGTTATATTTTCCATCATATTTATTTTCTCATTGTTCGAAGTAGCGCTTTTAATAAAGATGATGGATAACCATACCACAACTTGAAATATTGCCTCGGGTGTTCTTATAAGAATATTTATATTACTCTAAAACATTTACAATACATTTCCAAGTAATTATTAATATTCTCATGATACTCTCATCAATATTCATGAGTTGAAAGTATTTTTTAATAAAATATCTAAGAAAATGAAAATCAAGTTTAATAAATGTTGGAGTGGATAATTAACAAAGTTTATTTAATGGAGTAGAAAGGGTATGATAATGGATATTTGAACATGCAATGTAAAGTATTGAAGGGGTAATAATTTATTTATATATATATATATATATATATATATATATATGGAGTTTATTTTTGTACTTAAGTAGCTTGAATATCGTTATATAAAAATGTAAGTCCTCGCCCAAACATGAATTTTCAATTTACTTTTTCCCGCGTGACACAATACCTCTGCGGTGTAATATAATTCCTTTTTTGTTTATTTGACACGTTTCGCCTTTCATTCATATATCACTCAGGATTATTCCTGTAATATGTAAAATATTCTGTTTTTTACCTGTAATCCACTGTGTGACTTGCTCCGATGACATCGCTAAAACGCGTCAGCCATCCGTTGCTGGGAAAATCCTTAGGGTGGGTGTGACGTGACCACAACCCTTCAAAAGTCACCTGAGAAAAAAATAGAATAAATAAATTAAAATAATAAAATAATAATAATTCTAGATATAAAGTTTGATGAAAGTTAGAAAAAAAATAATTCTAGCTTAGTAAGAATTGCACAAAAAATATTTTAGAAGGGTATTCTGGACTACAGACATGAATTATAATCTATTTTAGAAGAGTATATTAAGTTAAATTTTTGAAAGGTCCTTAAAATAGAAAATAATATTTTTACTATTCAGTTCAGAATAGTTTAAAAAAATTAATTCTAGCTTAGTAAGAATTGCACAAAACAAATATTTTAGAAGAGTATTACTATTTTTGAAAGTTCCTTAAAAAAGAAAATAATATTTCTACTATTCAGTTCAGAAAGTTTAAAAAAATTAATTCTAGCTTAGTAAGAATTGCACAAAAAAATATTTTAAAGAGTATTACTATTTTTTAAAGTTCCTTAAAAAAAGAAAATAATATTTTTATTATTCATTCTTTATTACCAAATGTTTTAAGAATACAAAAAAAATCAAAAATTAAATATTACAAAAGGTTAAAATTACGTAGGGAGGAGATTTGCAGATAACCATAACCCTGATTTGAACCCTCCAAATAATACAATACAAAAAATAGTTCATTGATCTAGATGCCCGATGTCATGAATTTTAAATTCTTGATTATTTTTTTTAAAAAAAGTGAAGATTGAAATTTAGGAATAGGCATAGTTCATACTGAGGAGAAGCCTTTAAAGAAGACTTTGTGAGAGTTCAAAATAAATCGGACAAGTAAAAGGTTGAGAAAATCGTGGGTATCATATATAGCAGAAGGTAGTTTCAAGAAAAACGCGTTTAAAATTTTAAAGAGGAAAAAAACAGAAGATCATGATCGTGAGCAAACAGCTATTTCTCCGAAAGTAATTTAAAATTTTAACAATCCTTTTGTACTGTTTTTTTTAAATGATTGGAAAATATATAATTTTTGGAGGTATTTTCTTTTTATAAAATACCTGACGGAAATGAATATTTGTTGTTTTCACTGAAATTTTTCAAACATTTGTAACACAATCTATACTTAGAATGTGTGTTAATTTCTATGCGTATTGTTGGAAAATAAATTTTCAAATTCTTGTGTTCGATTCATTAAATCAGGTCACTATCGCAGTAATTTAAATTTGATTCGCGATGTTATAATGTATCATTTAAATAAACGGTAGCATAATAATACACATTTGTCAGTGCAATTATGGTTAAGCATAGCAAATGCAAATTAGTGAAATATCATACTGATTTTGTTCGAAGAGAATGAGAATTTTGTGGTCGTTATTGGCACAAAATTGAATTCAACTGTACAGTTGATTTAAATTGATTTCAAATCTATTTGTAGAATGTATATATCTTAATACTTCCAGGAAATATTTATAATATTTGTAAATATTAGTACCATAATTTTCAGTATTATATCCTCCCTAAAATTATCTACTTTGCCAACTTAGTATGTAGAGGCGTCTTATACGCTTTTGTTAAGGGTTATTCCCCGTTATGGTAACAGCTATAATATAATCATAATTATCAGGCTTAACGCGTACACCCGATCTGTATTATTATTTAATTAAGTAGTTTACTTCGTAAGCCGTAGGAGCAATTATCGCCATCTCCGAAATCAAGTTTTGAATTTAATACATAGTTATAGTTCGCATAAACTTATGTAATACTATAGCAAGAGTTATAGTCGGATAATGCAATATGCAGACAAGTTATTGATTAGCAAGCCATGTGCGGAGAGGAACTTAGTTCTTGTCAAAACTAATTTACCATCTGGTCGGCAGCTCTAAACTATTGTGATCCGATATTATTAACATGTACATCGTACGCACATCAAGTGCACGCAAAGTTATTAGGAAACTTATGATCTTTGATGAACTATGTGGTAAATTTTCATATTAAAATCATATATAGAGGTATCTTAATATTTCATATAGGGGACCCTAAAATAATATGGTGTTTTTTTTTAAAGAAATATTTTTATTTTTTATTAACTTCCCGAAGGAGAAGTTTATGTTTTCATAAAAAAAATCCGATTCGCTAATTTTATATTTTCTTGGCGTTTCAAGCCATTCTGAATCGAATGAGACCAAATTTGGAAAAAGTATGTGTGTGTGTGAACAGATTTTTTGAGGATTTGTTTTCTGCCTACTATTTAACCCTCCGTCGGTCGGAGTGGTCTGGCCAGATTTTTAGACTTCAATTAAAAAAAAACTCTTAGTAATCCTATCGATTTGAAATTTATTAACTTTTTCTAAAATTTCATTAGCTGTCGATCAATGAAAAAATCAGGACGTAAAAATGTACAGAAGGATAATTATAAGGATATTAACTTTTTTATACTTCGAACGGTCGGAGTAGTCTGTCTAGACCCCCAATACATTTTGTATGAAATATACGCTTTTTGATATATGTAAACCAGTATTTTGTTTTTTTCTGATATTTTCTATTCAAACTGCGTTTTATACATTCTTTGCTATGTGTTGTAACATGAATGTTAGTATTTTCAAGACGAGAGTTCCTTGAAAACCTACCAAACTTATTGGTCATCGCAAACATTGAAAATCAAATGAGTAATGCGCACATTATCAACAATTTTTCTACCCGTACTGCGTTCAAAAATTGTTTTGGCAAACCTGTAGTAAAATTATATTTTCAACTTGAATTTTACAGCTCATGTCAAAGGCGACGCACCTCATTTCGTTTTCATTTGAATTTCACATTCATTTCGAAGGCGCCGAAAAAGAATAAATATTATTTTTCATTGATATAAAACAGAAGAATTAACAAAAAAAGCAATGATTTGTTCATATTTCTTGATTTTTTTTTATATAATATATAATATTTTTATCATAAGCAAGCTCAACACATGCAAAAGACGATAAAAAAAGAAAAATCAAAACTATAAATATTTACTAGTAATAATCGTTAATATATAAGACATCAAAAACTCATTTATCCCATATAAATGCATGTAAAATGAATGGTGGTCCAGCCAGACCACTCCGACCGTTCGAAGGTGAATAAATATCCGACCGACGGAGGGTTAAACTTTAATCTATTAGGAAAAATGATTAAAATATATCATGTATTTATAATATGCAATTTAGAGTTTGTGCACATTTAATAGTTATTTAATATTCTTTGAAAACAACGGAGCAGCAAGAAGTACTAGAAAACTATCAACAACCATGCAACTATTCGACCGTCTACTCAGTTCTGTATTTACATTCCAAATATCTTTTCCATTTACCTCATATTTGGCTTCATCGCAAGCCTCGCAAGGATCGACCACACTAGGTTGCAAGTCGAGCGAGTCCTGCGAGTCCTCGCACAAAGTTCTACTAAGAGGACCATCGTCCATGTACCACACATCACGCACTTCGAGAACAGTGGCCCGAAATACCACACAACCCGAACCAGCCGGGGGTGCGGTCCACATCACCTGGAAAAAGGAAGGAAAATATTGATTACAAATATTAGAAGTAATACATTTATTTGTTGGATACAGGAAAGATAGAAAAGTCCAACACTATTTTTTCAAAAGCAAAAAATACTATTTTGAATACTTTTTGTAAATACTATTTTGCAAATTGTATGTAATCATCCTTCTCTTTTAGGCAAATTGCTGGAACTTCCCGTATTAAAAACTAATTGGTGATGGCCGGTTATACATTTTTGGTCTTCTATTTTAAAGTAGTTTTTTTTTTAAAGAATTCTACACTTAACTTGTTTTTAAGACATTTTTATCTCCGACTTTTGAACTCTGCTCTACCCAATATTGCTAAACTATTTTAAGTACTCCAGAAGTAATCCAGAAACAAGTAAAGCACCTTTTCTCCTAGTATTTCATAATGTTATCAATAACATATCTATATCCAAATATCATAATATAATCTAATTATAATACACTTATCGTAAAATTATAAAAAAAAAACCCTTAAAATTTAATTTCGACGTGGGCGCCGTACCAACACCCTCTCCGTAATTAAATCCCGTTTGTTTCATTTCGTTTCCCTGCTTATTCTCTTACGAACATATGGTTAATATTTGCGTTATATCCATGTTTATGAGAAGGCGTGCAGGGCGAAATGTAAAACGCCATTTTATTCAATTTAGTTAACCATGCTTATGAGCAAACATGAACCTTAATCATATACATATAATATCATATATGGAGCAAAAAGAAGGCACGGTAATATAACAAAAATGGCAAGTAAGCCGAGAAAAAAACGTATGTGTGTGGTTTTTTGGGTAAAAAAATAATCCTGATTTTAAAAATATTAGTAATAAATTAGTAATTTGTACATTACTGAATTGCTGCCACTTTATACCAAAAAACCAAACACATACAATTTATTTCTGTCGCGACTTATTATTTTGCCATTTTTACCACATCATTCCCCCCGCTAGTGATGAAGTCACGAAGGAACTTTTTGTGGGTGATTGGTAGTACCTCACAAAATAAAGTTGTATAATGTGACATCGAACATTAATTATTATTTATTGATTATGAAAAAACTTAAAAACTAGTGGGGCGCATGGCATCGTGCCTTAAGGCAAATTGTTGGAACTTTCCGTACCAAAAATTATTGTTTTTTTAAAAACAATTAACATTTTTGGAAAAAACTTCGGAAATCCGGCAATCGTACTGCTTTAACTGCCGACAAGAAGTAAAAGCGCGTAAGCGCCGCGTCGCCGTCTAACGGATGAATATTGGTACAGAACCCATAGGAATGTAAACAAAATTTATACTTATTGTGAAATCTCTATAAAATATCTGATAATTTGATGTGCATATGTCTAATGATCATTTTTGACCGCCTGGCATGGCATTTTTTTTGCTTTTTTCATTAGATCTCCGAAACCGCTAGACCTGCCTTCATAAAAATTTGATCAATTCTTCATCTTGTTAATATAAGTAAAATGTTTTTTGAATTATTAAAATCGGACGCTCCGTTCTCTTAAAAACTGAGTTACCGTTTTTGGCACGTTTTGCCCTGTATCTTTGAAACAGCTAGACCTGCCTTCGCCAAAAACTAATCAGCACGTCTCCTTATTAATACAAATCGAATGTTTTTTGAATTATTCAAATCGGTTGATCCGTGTTCCCGAAATCGTCGACGAAAATTTGTATCCGCACACACACACACACACGTACACACACATACATCCATTTTTTCTAAGGTATGCCAAAATGTTCAGAAGCCTTTGAAACGTAAAGATATATAAAAATTTTCATTTTCGATTTTTTTGCGATTATTATAACTTGCCCTACGGGAAGTTAAAAATTGTATACCTTGTAGTTTGAAAATTATGAGCTTTTAAGTACAATGTAAAGCTTTGGTGAAACAGTGGTCATTTTTTGGTTGTAAATTAGCTATACATAAACAAACCAAGTACTAAATGCTTACATGATAGTAAGATTACGATTCGAGTAAACAGTGTATTTCTCTATGACAATCCATAAAATATTCTCTTTCAACTTTCCACGAGTGAATCCAGGATTGCTAGCGCGAAGCAAATCTTCGGTTCTTAATAGACGAACCGCATGTGTATATCGAGAATAACATTTCCAATGACTGGAATATTATATCAATAGACAATTCAGAAATTTATGAATGCTGAATAAGCGCCATATTGTGCTGAGTTGGGGTTCCATTGGATTATTAAATAGGTATTGAAATGCCAACGGTGAAACTGCGCCACGGCTGTTTCGCACATCTATTCATAACACGTCACATGTATGCGATGTATCAGATTTTAATGGCAATCGGTAGCGCAACAATAATTTCGGAAAGTTTTAATAATAGATATACAGAAACCGTTTTAAACGTAAAGGGTAAATATTAAGTGCTTTATGTGTTGTTTCGTCCAATTGGAATTGCGGTTTTATGAAACAGTTTGACATCATAGCGGGTATGATGAAAACGGTCACCAATGTTGGGTGACTCATTTTTAACTTCCCGTAGGGTAAGAAATAGTAAATGCAAAAAAAGCTCAAATGAAATTTTTTATATTTATTCACCTTTTTAAGGTTTCTGAACATTTTGGCATACCTCAGAAAAAATGGATATGTGTGTGTGTATGTATGCATGTACGGATACAATTTTTCGTCCACGTTTTCGGGCGCACGGATCAACAGATTTGAATGGTTCAAAAAACGTTCGATTCCTATTGGTAGGGAGATATGTTGATAAGTTTTTAGAAAAGGTAGGTCTGGCCGTTACGGAGATACAAAGCAAAGAGTGCAGAAGATACAAAGCAAAGAGTGCAGAAGATACAAATCAAGTTTCTGAGAGAATAGAGTATCCGATTTAAATAATTTAAAAAAAAATCAATTTGTAATGATTGGGAAAAGACGTGATTAGTTTTTGGCAGAGACAGGTCGAGCCATTTCGAAGATACAGAGCTAAATGTGCAAAAAATGGCAGTTTTTGAGAGATCTAAGCGTCCGATTTGAATGATTCAAAGAACTTTCTACTTGTTTTCACAAAATAATTGCTTTTGGGTAAAAATTTTTTTGTTTCAATCTTTTTTATTTTTTTTTCATTTTTTTTTGTATATCGAAAATAATTCAGATTTTAATTTTAATTATGACTAAAGTTCTAATATACATTAATCAAATAATTTTAACTTTGCAATAATAATCTATTTCAAAACATTTAACATTCCTCGAGCATTTCGTTATGGTCCGGGAAGTTCTAGCAATTTGCCGAGATGCGATGCCATACACCACTAGTTAGTTCAGAAAATCCTGAATTCATTCATTTACATAACCCTTTAATAATACAAGTAAATAATAATATAATTAGAAAATAAATCTGAATAGACTAGAAAAAATAGGTTATATCTACTGTTATCATAATTACCAAAAATTGTAATATTTTGCTGCATTTATTTATAAGCTCAACCTAATGCTCAAAAAAGCTCAAACATGTTCAAAAACAAATTTAGCTTTTTGAGGTATAAATCTAACTATGTTGCAATATTACCAAGTCATTGAAATTTCTTGCAAAAACAAATTTTCGTTATCGGTTGGAAAGGAAGTGATAAAGAAAATGATTTTGTAGTAAATAATTCTTTAGTTTTTTTGTAGTAAATAATTCTTTACTTCGACATTGATCATTATTCTTACAATTACTGTCAAACAATTTAATTACTTGTTTCTCCTAAGTATAATATATATGCAAAATAATATTCTATTTTTAAAATGCAACACCAGCTGTGCCGCTATTTGCATGTTTTGCAAACGGAACTAATTTACTGCAAAGTGCGCATTGCATCCGCAACGGAGCACATTTTTTATAATTTAACGCTCGGTTCCCCCGCGTTGGATTTGCTTACATTTTAGATTATGTACAGTAATGCGAAAGTTTATAAACTGTACCTAACATTGATTATATCTTAATATCAGGGGCAGAAAAAAGACCCAGTTGGAAAACAGATATTTGCACCTTAATGGCAAAGAAAACGCGTGAAAAATGTAATACATATTTGATATGGTGTATTTCTGCAGACAAAGGAGGGTGTTTTAGCTTTGATGTTGTATTTCATTAAAATTATTGTTTGTTATATTGAGGTATATGAACAGTAATTTGATATATTATTAGTATGGAAAGTTGAAAATATCAAATCCACCTTAGCAGATTTTATTTGCACTCAATAAATTTCAAAACGTCTAGAACCACGAGCGCTTCAACTCTTATTCTCCAAGGAATATTTGAAATATTGCTCACATTTATATGAAACGCTGTGATATATAAAGCAAAAGAGTTTTGAAGTTCAAATATGGGTCATTCATTTTTCTTTTATTTCGTCGTATAAGCCGCCCTGTTCTTAAGCCAATAGAACCCATATAAAATAATATGCAGCAGCAGATGTACGGGAATAGAAAAATCGCAAAAATAAGATTTGTCGAAAAATGGAATATGGGTGTTCTTTTCTGCGTAGTTTTATAGAGGTTGTGATTTAAGAGATTTGGCCATTGAGAAAAATGGAAAAGGTTAAAGTATTTTGTAAAACCTGTGTGTTGTGCAAGAGTAATCAATTTATTTATATTTAGTCAAATTAAACGCAGTAATTATTAAAATTTATTATTTAATATATATTTTTTATCCTCATCAAACTGACTATTAAACTAATTTCATAAATTGGTTTAAATGTGTATGTTCCTTCACCAGTATTTCGGTCGATTCCAAAAATTTAATTTAAATAATGTGTTTCCGAAAGAAAAAACACGAAATTCAATTTTAACTTGTTATCGTTTTTCCGTTTCGGTTTATTTACATGTGATGAACATATGGCACAAAATTTAGGGCGGGTATTATGTAACATATTTAATTTAAAAAAATAAATGAAGGTGAACAACTGTAGGTAAAAACCGGCTATGTATATAAATCGTAATTGTAATATATGATTATCTTTATTTTACACGTAAAATAA